GACATCGGTCATATAGGCTTACGAATAAGCGTGCTTTAACAATACTACGTGTATCTCTTTAGGCGGTCCTGCTAGAAGACTAAATGCTCTATTATTAAGTAGTATCAACGGCGATCTTCGGCTTCCGTCATCGCGTCTTCCACAGCTAGAAAAAACACAAAATGAATATCAACTTCTAATGGGTATTCGAAGGTTCTATACATTTTCTTTGCATCATGTCACACTCTAGGCATTCACGGCAGCTTGGAATGTAGAACTCGCAGAACGTACAATCGACTAGCCAGCCTCGAGTCGTTCGATCGAGTGATTATTGAGACTCCATGAGTATAGAAACTTACTTTAGCGTTCATCCTTCGTCGTGGGATGAATCGTATAGGTGCTGATCACCATGAACTTACGTGCAGAAATAGCTACCCTAACATCACCACTGCATCGGAATACGAGTTGAACAACGGTTTACGGCTGTGTCACCATTTCCGGCTTTAGTTCTTGCCTTGACGAGGTAGGACTTGGAAGTCAGACTTCGAATGATACAAGGCAGGAACATATAAGTACCCCGAGAATCACCTCCAAGAATTCGACATCTCTCAGCATCTCTTCACACAACATACATCAATCAGCATCTACAATCGCTCCACAGCCTTAACTTGATATCCAAAACAAACGCCCAACATGTACAACTTCGCTACCCTCCTCACCCTGGCCTCAGTCGCCACGACGACCCTCGCTGCCACCAGCGAGCCCAAGCACTACCGCCTCAAGACTGAGGTCAAGCCTCACCAGCGCGGAAAGGGCGCCTACAACGATCTCTATGTCCAAACTTACCACACCGGTGCTGGTCTCAACGATGCGACGTTCGTCAAGAACGCGTCCGCCGCAGCTGTTGGCTACCTGAACGCCACCAGCACCTCCACAGACAAGATTCCAGACAACGTGCAGTCGTTTGAGTTGCCTGGCAACGAGATTCCTTGGTACGATACGAATTGGCTCTCAAACAACAAATCACATCACTTCAGCTAATACAATGCAGGTCCATGTACATGGACTACACCCAGGTCCCCTACTCTGGCTGGCAACCCGTCCGCATCAACCTTGGCTACGGCGGTTCCGACGCCGGCAGCCACGGTTTCTTCATCAACTCTACCGGATTGCAGTGGAACAGCTCTCCTAAAAACCCTGCCGCCGAATCTTTCAATGGTTGGGTTGTCTGTGATTGGTGGCACGGTAAATAACCGCTCCCTGTATAACTCACTACACAAGAATAGCTACTGACAGTTGTTTTCTTTTTGCTATAGGCGTCCCGCAGCTATTCGCCCGTCTCAAGGGTTACAACACTGCTCTGCCGAAGAGCTGTGCCGACATCTACCTCAAGCCTGAGGAAGTTGCGGCTTAGAGAGCTGACATCGACACTCTCGGTCGGATGCCCATAACGGTGGATACAAACGGCGGTATCGACTATCTTCAGCTTGATTGTATCCAGGCTGCGGGTGAGTGGCACTACACCTTTGGCTACACGTCGATGGCAGAGTGGCACGGCGAGGTGTGATGTGATGGGACTGTAATGGGACTTTGCTAACTTTCGTGGGTGACTATTGACTTTCTTGATACTTGGTCATAGCAGTGATATTGTACCATTCGTGTTTTCAATCGGAGCGTCAACAAAAGTTCTCACAGTTCATGTTCCACGTCTCAGTCAAATGATTCAGGTGCATGATGTCAGTTCATTCTAAACCTATCAAGTGCCGTTCAACGTCAACGTCAGCTCAGATCTTAGCCTTCGAGCACATCAACATATATCGTTCGCACCTAAGAGACTCATTGATACCGTCGTAACATTACTTGCACTGAAAACCTACGAGCAAGCTTGGGGTTGGTAGGGTTAGGGTCGAAATTCACCTGAGATTTCCATTCACATACAATCATGAGAATGAGATTTTACTTGTACAGCTTCATTAGTTGATAAATTGAGCTCCGAAATATGTTTGCAATGTTCATGACGAGTGATGAGGGCTCAATTAGTTCCCTGCAAGCATTAGCAAATTTGCAAGGGTCATAAATTCCAAGCTGTGAGATTTCTTCAACAATTCCTTCGCCCTCTTAGTTTAACGGTTAGAACAGAGGTCTCATATTAACAATATGATCGCAGCACAGCTGTGAGCCATCCTCAGATATGAGTTCGATTCTCATAGAAGGCAACCATAGCTCAAAACTATGTTTTTCTTTTTGAAAAATTCACTTACAAATAGTCGCTCTTGCCGATATCAGTTTTTTCTCTCTCCGTCCCGTCATGGGGATTGATGCTGAGCTTGTCTTGACCCCCGACTGGATCAATACAAGAGTCGAGCAGTGCAAATTTTGGTCGAAGGCAATCATTCTTGATGAATCTCTCTTTTGCAAAATTCACTAACAGACGGCGCTCCTGCCAACTTTTTCACATTTCTGTCACTACACATGGAAGCTTATGCTAAGTTGTTCAAATCTTTCTGCGAGTTCGATAAATCCGTGGTGGAAGATTTTTTTTACATTCTTTTTCTTCTTTCCCTCCTTTTTGTCTGTGTTCTCGCTTTCTTTCTTCTTCTTCTTTTTTTTTTTTGAAAAGAAGATATAGGAGTGTTTTATTCCGCTAAACCTTTTTTTGGAGCAGATACATTCAACTATGAATGGGAGAACTGGCAAGAGTGAGCCTGGGCTTCGGAGATCCCTCACTTTTGGAGCACATACCATCTGTCACAAACGCGAAAGGTGGGAGCTTCAACCACTGAGAGAGACTTCATGCCAGTCATAATTTACCGTAATACTGCAATAACTAGAAGAAAACATACACACAACGCAATACTTGGAAAGAGGGAATCGCGGTTCATCATCGCTAATGCAAACTCCTTCTCGCAAAGGGATCTTTGCAGACATTCTCAGCCGGGACAACAAGACACATCGCCTACGCATGCACGCCACCCCTCAAGATCGTCAAACAAGGCCCAACCAACTTCAGACTCCCAGTGACCAAACACGCCGTATGTTGCTTACTGTTGCTCTCAACCTCCCATTTCGAATCCCTCTTTAGACCCGGCCCCGGCGTTCCCACAATCGCCATCGCCTCCGCCACGGAGCGCACAACTCTCACCTCGCTTCTGCCAGCGTCAAGCTCCATCCAAGTCTGTGCCAATAATTCCTGTTGCGTCGTATCCAGCTCCGACACGGGGTTGAGGCTGATCAGATCGGGCGTGGCTTGGATCTGCGGCGTCAGAGCGTTTGTGCAGAAGACGACCAGGTCGAAGGGTGGGCCGTCTGCTTCGTCTTGTGACTTGCTCAGAGTGTGGTGCAACACGCGGAGGAGTTCGTGCTTGTTCTCTTCAGTACGGTTGAAGATCAGAGCTGTTCGGGAGTAGGCTGTCCTGGGGAGAGACGCTTTCGCGTACCATGCGGCTGCGCAGCGGATGCTCTCGCTGGTGTGGGCGCCGTCGACGAAGAAGGCTACTTCTTTCGTGAGCTGCAAGTCTGATCTTCCTGGCCATGTCGCTTGGTGTAGGCCTGTTTGGACGAAGATT